CCGTGCGCGTTTCAACTTTCCGCCCGCTGCGATGTCGAACGGTTATCGTTGTAGGCGGGGAATCGTAATGGCGCAGGACGAATGGTTAATTACGCGCTCGAAAGATAGCGATGACGCGCGATTCGTTCGAGACGCACCAGAGATTAGGAAAACGCGCAACGGTTTTGCTCGGCGAGCGAGACGCCGCGTCGAATCGGTTGTTTCTAATTGCCGGGTATACGGGCAGCTCGATTGCGCGCGCGGTCAATCGTACGTCGCTCCGAATTTACTTGCCGTTTCGAGATCGGGACTCCCTAAAAGGATCACGGGCCGCTTTGTAGCGCCGACGTCGGTGTTCCATCTGCCCGTACGCGACCGTCTTCGATTGTCGCGATTAATGATTCAGCGGCCGTGATCGATCGCTCTTGCCAATTACGATCGCGAGACGATACTGCCGGCGAAAAATCGAGCTCACGGTCCGACGCGTGTACTAACGATTCCTTCCCGCGATTAGTCCGGTCGATTAACGGTCGTTAACACGTTCACCGCGACGAGAATGAACGTCCTGCGTATTACTTGTTCTTTCGTAATGAAGGCAAGTGGTATTGGGATTAGTTGGAACCTAATTACACTACGTACATCGACATTTTTATACACCTATCTCCTCCGACACGGTTCAATTTGAGTTATGAACAAAAACGAATTTTCTTTAAAAAACAACTTAAACGATATAAGCTTACAGAATGATCTTATAAAAGAAACTATGAGATGTATGGATAAAAGTCAGTACAAGTGGTAGAAAAGAAATGGTTAAAATTACCCGATGAACTTAGTGCTAATGATTTGGTATCGTAGTTCTCGAGTTACACTATTATTGCTTGTGTTATTGAGTATTTTCATTTGACGTAAGTTTCCTTCGTGTAAGTGTCTTCAAGCAGTTTCTAAGCTCCACTCATCGGTGACCATCATGGCGGTCAACGCGTTCACGTATCTATTCGCGTAATAAAAGACGCGGCCGCCCGCGAAGCAGCGAAATTCCTTCGGCGACGAAGAGCGCGCACGCTTGTCGTTCGGATCCGAGCCGAACGCAACAAGTGTACTCGAAATGATTGCCGTGAACCGAGGCTGAGCGTAAAATTGAACGAGCATCGACGTCGATAATGCGAATGGTAATATCGCGGCGCTTTTCGCCGCGTCGCACTTAGCTGTGTTCCTGGCTCGCCGAGCCGTGAAACGGCCAACGGTGGACCGCGCCATATCCAGTTCGCGTTTCAATTTATATTTACCTTGATACGCGCTGCACTTTTAAAAGGCTTTCCCGTCGAGAGAGTATCGGCTCCATTCGAAAACAAGCCAATCGACACACCGTCGATCACGCGATGTTCAATCGGATTGTTGTGCCGCGCCGTTCGGCTTGGCGAATTTGCTAATTCGAAAACAACTCGTCGGGCCCGAATGATATCGCGCCAGCCGCGCTCACAATGATCCCGAGCGTGAATATTTGACATAAAAGGCGTGACATTTAAACAGCGGACCGTTGAATTCAACGGTAAATTAAATTTCTCGGGTTTATCGCTCCCCGCGGCGAGACGAGCGTCGAACGATCTTCAAAGTTCGAGCCCATATTTCGTCGACACCCCGTACACCGGCGAAACCAGCTGGTTTTCGCGTGATTAATTCGAACGATCGATTACGCGCGCCGGCAAGGAACACCAACGTCGGGAAACCGATCGAGATCCCCAGAAGTTTCCCGAACGTCGACGAAACGGCACGTTTAAAAGAATCGTCCGAGCGGCGAGCGTATTTCTCCGCGTTCGTTCGCCGTGGAAACAATTGCGCGGGAATTTCGTTGTTCCCGAGCGTCGACCGACTTCAGGAGGCGACGCACGAAAAACTAGTCTGTCATGAACGGATTCCAAGCACTTCTGACGTTCCTCGGCGTTCTCGTGATCGTGGTCGGAGACCGGGACCTGATCGAGAAGTACACCCGTGCCACCGGAAACGTATACCATGGTAGGTAAGTGCATTCGCGGGCTGCGCGACGGTTGTCGATCTCTCGCCGGAAAATCCTCCGGTTGATGCACTCCGGCACGCGAACCGTTCCGCGCGGCGACAATTTCATCCGGTTTCCCGTCACCCGTTTCGATTCGATCCCCGTCCGGACGCGATATCATTGGACTTTCCTTCCTCGGGCACCTCCTGTGACATCTCCCTTCCCTGACTCGACTACGCGAGTCTGGCATCTCGATGACAAATGCTCCGTGCCTCTCCCGACGCGTTTCTTTCGTTCCGCGTCGTCCTTCGGGTCGCGCAACGAGCCGTCGCTGAGGATTTCCCTTCGACGAACGAACGACTGGCCCGACTCCCGTTCGAATTTACGGCTCTTTGTCTCCGCGAGGAGCTCTCCTATTCGCCATAACAGATAGGTGGCGAGATTTATCGCTGCGACATACGCGATACGTCGCGTCGTCGGGATTTGAAAGGACGACGGCAGTCGGCACCGCGATACGGGGGATATTATAAATTCAATTAAACGATAAGGACGCGTACAATAGAACCACCGTTGTCCGGCTTAATTGGCCGACTAACGGTCCACGCGGATACTCGATCCTATAATAATACACCCCACAATAATCTAAGAATCTGCATCGAATTCAGGAATAATAAAGATTCTAGATCTAGGTCTCACGGAACAGCGTCTCGATTAATCGTCGCGTGTTATCTGGAGAATCTCGTCAGGTCCGCCAAGACGGATCGCGATTTTTCCCAGCGTCTAATTCGCTGGAAAATCGTTCAGTTACTTTCCAACCGTCCGGGAATGCCTTGATTAACGCGGCCTTAACGAGTTCGCGAACTTTATCGACGCTCAATTTACCTCGGGGGGTAGCGTTCGAATATTAATGGAATGCTCCGAAAAATTTCGTTGCCAGGATGTCTCGATGGTGGATGATACTCGCGTATCCGCGAGAAGGTTCTCTCGCGTGCGGCCGCGTTCGCCCGTTGAACGCCCTTTAATCAAACTTCCGTTCTCCGGCGGCGGTGCAGGTACACGAGAGACGTCCACGAGCCGGAATTCCTCGTGCCGAGGAGAGTGTTCGAGGATGGCAGCTTCCACACGTACTCCCTGCCGAATTTCTACGACCGACGGGAGATCGCCGAGCGCGGAAAGAGGTCGGCCGAGGCAGGGGAGAAGGAGCCGGAGACCGATAAATTACACCTGGTGCTGCCTTTCAACGGGATCGAGCATCACGTGGAGCTCGACCCGCACCACGAATTCATCTCGCCAGACATGGTGATCGAGACGAGGGGCGCAGGTCTGAGCAGCAACCTGAACGAGGCGATACGATTCAAGAGGGCTCCGGATCAGCAGTGCCATTATCGGGGTTTCGTCAGGGGCCACCGTGGATCCAAGGCTGCTCTTTCTTTGTGCGACGGCGTGGTTCGTGCTTCCTCCCCTTTCGTTCCACCGCGCGATCGAGATTTCGAATTCAGAAAGTAATAGGATCCGCGGGGCCGGCCAAGAGAACGCGGGTTGATTATACCGAGGATACATTATTCTACTTACAAGACCGAGCTGCGAAAAGTGTCCCAATCGCGTCTTCCGTTGTTCTATCGAACGGTCGAACGGGCGGGCGAGCTATTTCCGACGGCGTCGAGGATTCATTGAAAATGGATGATCGTCTTTGCCGGCAGAATAGACGGCGAACTCGGTTCCACCGTAGGACGACGAGGCTTTAGCGAGCTTGTGCTCGCCGGCTCGCGACTAATCAAGCCTCTTATTACGTACTTAAGCGCATGCAAATGAATATATAATGAATTTACATATAGATCGACCCGTAGCTCGCCGATGTCGTCGATCCCGCCAGGCTATCGATCGTAAATTTCGGATTAAACCAGCCGACGCAACTTTGCGCCGACGTTCGTAGGTTGCCGTTCGAAACACCGGTATATCGAGTGATCTTTTAATGCTCGTTCTTCGAGAATTTGTCCGATAAACAGCGCGGGCAACAGCCGTGTCGCGGTTTTCAGATCGACGCAATTTCCGCGGCGCGTCGCGAGACGCGATCGAGCTAATCGGCGTCGCTCGTTTGCAACCGAATGCGCCGGTCGTTAAGGTCTATCGGCGACCGTGTTTCGCCCGGAAAGCGTCGCGCGTAATAACGGCGGAACAGGCCGTAGAGCGGAATAGAATGCTTTAGATTATTTTCCGCCTCGCGACGGCGCAACGCGCTCTCCGCATTATCCCCTTCTGATCGTTTTTTTTCCCCCGCAGTTTCCTCGGCCATTTTAATATCGCCTACCTTTCCTTGCTGATTACATTTTCCGTTCGCGGATTCCAGTAGCATACGCTCCAACGTTTACCGTCCATTCGAGTGAATCTTGTTTAAGTGTATCGCGGATCCGCGGCCGCCGACAGCGCCGAAAGTTACGCGGCCAGGCAACCGTAAAGGGATCGAATCGCCGTGTAACGCGTTATCGAATCGGTAAATTTCCGCGGGTATCAGCGCGCCTCCCCCTCCCCGGCGAGCAGACCACAATTCCCGGCAAATTATCGGGCTTTAGTTTGCTCGGTCCGCGCGCGCGGGGCGGGCGCGCAACCGTTTTGAATTATGCTGTTAGTTCTGGCCGGGGATAAATGTTGCACGCGCAACCGATCTCGGTAATTGGGATCGTTCGATTGTAATTTCCTCGGGCCTACATGTAATTCCGTGATTCGCGCGGAATTTCATAGAGCAACGAACGAGGCCGGGCACGATGGCTCCTACGTTCCGCGGATTAATGCTCCCCGGAAAGCGAAACTCCAATTATAACTTGTACGGTAATCGACGTTCTTCCGGGCGCTCTCGCTTGGCTGGCGAAAGCTCGCTCCAGCTCGCGATCGCGCGTTCTTTCGCGAGCCGCCCCCGATATCTTATTTACAATAACGTTGATTAATGAAAAAGCCGGTAAATGCGTGCGGATCGCGTGCAGGCCGGCTACGTGCAGACCGATCACGGCCGGTACTTCATCGAGCCGGCGCACCAGGCCGAACCCGAGTCGGATGGCCGACACGTGCACATAGCTTACGAACGCAGTATCCCGCACGGAGGGCACGGGAAGGATGATCACGCTCCAAGGAGAACCTGCGGCACCAGCGGTTAGTACACGTATCGATCTGTCGTCGCGTAACCTCTTCAAAGATACTGGCACGGATATATTTGATTTTAGTTTAACTCCTTGCACTCGAAAGTTTTTCGCTTGAAATATTCTATACCTTCTAATTAGACGTAGACGAGATTCTTTGAAATGAACTTATCAAGAAAGCACATAAATCAGGGAACAAAGCTATTTTCTTTCAATATTTCACGCATTGACGCGGTGTACGAAAGTTAACCCTTTGCACTCGAGAGGCGCCTCTTAGTCGACATTCGATTTGAACCGAGAAAATGATAAAATTTCAAATTCAATATTAAATTTTCTATAATGTATCAACACATGGAACATCGAAATGAAATAGTTCTGTCGCTTAATTTATGGAAGGTATTTCTTTATGGTGGTTGTAAAAATGTCATTGATATTTCATCGGGAAATAATGAATATTCTTTGAGAAAAGTATTCTCGAGTGCAAAGGGTTAATGGTAAACACCGAAGTTTATAATTTTGCTGTATCAAATCATCTGTCGACTGGTAGTCGCCTCTCGAGTGAAAAAAGTGCCAGTCGACGTGTACTAAATTTGATAAACATTCTTCTACAACTCCTTTGCCAGTTCTGATCGACGCGGTTACGCGAATACGAATCCTAATCGATTCTCAGAGCTCCGATATCCAAAATCTAAATGAACATCAGTTTCTATAGGAATGATAGAATAAACTGTGAAATAAGCGTTCGTAAACCTATCGTTGAAGTCGACAATAAATTGTTCGGCCGATCGATTAAAATAATTAGACCAGCTTCTGTCCGGTCATCCTCCGCGTTCGCGGTGGGGCCGTTTAGTACGCGGTCACGTCCAACCAGGGCTCCTCGAGCGAGTGCTGCCTTCGATGTCCGCGAGCCACGCGAAGCCTCGTAAAGGGGGTTCCGTCGAACAGGGATCGCGTGTCAGCGGCGCTCGAGATAGAGCCCCGCTTATGGATTGCCACACCGCAAGACCGTGCCTCTCGGGGAGAATGACTCGCCTGTCGTGTCGCTGTCGATTCTCGAAATGTTCGAAATTGCCTCGCGAGAGCGTGTGCTCGGACGTGTCCGATTTTGCGCACGACACTCGGGGATGTTCGCTAACTCGCCGCTGAACCTTTCGCGATCTACGAGGAATGCTCATCGGCGATGATCCTCTTGATTAGATAACTGGGAGGCAGCGTGGGCGGAGGCGTTGGCACACCGCGAGAAACGGCTGTCGCAGGGAAATTCGTTGGCATCGAAGAGGGAGACGCACCTCGGCGTGACCCACAGCATACACCGGTACCTAACGGTTGCGCTGGTAGCCGACAGGATGTTCCTGGATTTCCACAACAACACCAACTACGAGCAGTATCTGCTGACGATCACGAATATGGCGGCCGACTATTACCACGACGTGTCCACCGGCAATCAGATCGACTTGATCCTCGTACGAATGATATACCTGGAGAAAGAAAAGGAGGAGGTAACGCGAAATCAGGGAGAGTTATAGCCCCGCGCCACCTGCTGCTGTGAATTAGCCTTTTAACCTTAATCGTACCACGTGTTTTTATAACGAATCACTCCACAATGTGACTCTCAGTCACTTATGAGAGTAAAAGGAACGACTCACCCTTTGCGGATGATGATTATTTATAGTGTACGGAACCTAAGGGAGATCCTGTCGAATTACACATCGAATGCTTAAATAATAGAGAAGAAAAGGAACAACTTACTGAGCTTTCGCTGTTTCGGTAATTAAATTGTTTCTGTGCAACTTAGTATTACAAATATGAGAGTTTGAGTTATAGTGTACGAAACCTAAGGAAGATCCTGTCGAATTACACATCAAATGCTTAAATAATAGAGAAGAAAAGGAACAACTTACTGAGCTTTCGCTGTTTCGGTAATTAAATTGTTTCTGTGCAACTTAGTATTACAAATATGAGAGTTTGATCTCGGCAGATTGTCGACATTCGTCCGCAAAGGGTTGAAATACTATTGCTTTTGTTTACAGGGCCGAAATTTTCAAAGCCCGTCAAACTTTTGGAAATGCAATATGAAATAAAGTTTTTGATTATTTCATACTTCCAAAAGTTTTGTAAATTAAGTCTAATGAAGTTTAATTGAATGAAATTTTTTGATTAAGTGAGAAGTTCAAATGTGACTCGAAGTCACATCGTGGTCCGATTAGGGTTAAGAAATTCCGTCGTTCGATTATTCTCGCGCAGCGTCCTCAAGTGTTTTACCAACACGTTCTTCCCGTAGACAGATCTACGCATTAGTCCCGCGGCCGAGGAGGCGCTCGACAGCTTCCTGAAATGGGCGCACAAGCTCAAGCCGAAGGACGAGAACCATCCGAATCATTTCGACGCGGCCGTCCTCATCACCAGGTGTACAGTCTGTCCGCTCAGGCAGTAAACCTAGAGAAAAATGTGCAGTAGCTATTTCAGCTTACCGAGATAACCGTACGCGCCCGGCGAATGTTTTCTTTACGTCCACTGCCTGGTCCCATTGGATAAACCATAGTTTCAGGAAGTCGTTCCCTCTAGCGAGCGGCGCGATTAACCTAATTCACGAAAATTCGTGTCCCAGGTACGACATTTGCTCGGAAGGGACCGAGTGCGGGCTGTTAGGGCTGGCGTACGTCGGCGCTATCTGTATTGAGCACCGGGGAGGATCGATCAACGAGGACAACGGTCTGGCGCTCGGAATCGTAGTCGCTCACGAACTTGGTCACACGTACGGTCCACCGCGTTCCTCCGTCGAGCTTAATCCTTTCGCTGTTATCGATGCCTAGACGCTTCCGTGTTAGATAGTCCTTTCCTCGGCTATTCACGATTCAGTTACCTCCTCCAGACGATCCTGTCGCTGCAGGATCCCTCGGAGTCGGCTCTCTTCGAGAAGTTCGAGTCGGGTGCAGTCTGGCGAATGATTCTGTAGCAGCGAAAGGGTTATGAAAAGGAAATCGAAAAGAGTGAAAGTAGTTTCTTGAATGTCCCTTATCGTGGAAGACAAGTCGTCGCGAGAGGGAGAAGAAGAGAGACGAAAAGTGTAGGGGAGCAATTTGAAATGTATTCTTCTTTAGGTTGGGCTGCGGTCACGACGAAGGAGGGCCGAACGCGTGCGATTCGCAGGACTCGACGGACAGTAGCTACTACGTGATGGCTCCGGTTTGCAAGTACTTCACGATCCGATGGTCCCCGTGCAGTAGAAAGTTTATGACCGAGCTGTTCGAGTAAATTCTCCGTAGATATTAAAACGGTTTCACCGACTGCTCCTCGGTATTCCGTGCGCGGATCATAAACGTTTTGCACCAATGCTTCAGCCAGGGGCTGGGCGACTGCCTGAGCAACAGCCCGCGAAATCCGCCGCAGGACTTCAAATTCCCGGAAATGTTGCCGGGCGCGATGTACGACGCGGACTTTCAGTGCCAGATGGTTTATCCCGGCTCGAAGCGTTGCACAAACATGGGGGTACGTTTGAACCTGTTCGCTTCAACGAGAAATTCCGGCGATGTTCGCCGAACGAAAAATTTTCTGTTGCAGGCGTTCACGTGCGAAAAGCTGTGGTGCAATGTGAACAATTCCTGCTTCAGCCGCGGTCATTCTCTGGCCGATGGGACGAAATGCGGCGAGAACAAGGTTCGGTGAACAGACATCCGTTGGCATCGCGGCGTCGATCTTTTAACTCGCGCGCGCGTTCTCGACGTTCCCGAGCTCTTCTTTTATTTCCCTCGCTCGGCCGTGGCTCCTCGCAAAATAACAATCCGTCTGTTTGCGTTGCACAGCCGTCGGGAAATTGTACAGAAATTTCCATGCGGCTGCTTTTTCACGGTCTCCTTCGTCCCTGTCCTTTGCGAGAGATTGCGCGGAGAGGATAAAGGGAGGAGAGGCCAAGCGGCATGGAATAATTTAAAATTTCCGAGACGCGAACTCTAATTCGCGTACGGGGAACGCGCATAGAACAGTCCGTAACGCGATACGAGCGTAAACAGGAAATATTTATGCGAACGTAAAAACCCCCGCGAAGTCTCGATGAGAGTTAGGAAGGAACGCGAGGTATTATCGCGCGGCGGACTTTCAGATTTTTATAATATCCGGCGCAACCGGGCCGCCGGCGCAGCGGTGAAAAATGAAAATCCGCGATATCGCTTCGAAAGGAAAATATCAGGCGGTAGATTGAATTAACCCATTTCCCCCCTAACGATTCGTTTTGTTTTATTGTATCAACGAAATTTAGCTTTTATTTCCACGTAAAACCTCTGCGCGCAATCTCCGTGCGGAGGCCGGAGACGGGGACGGTTTAAAATTGATTTCGTGCAGTTTGAAATTCTGATCCGCTCGATTAACCCTTTCCCGAAACTTCCGCCGGAGGAAGCTGAATTATACACCGAATTCTAAAATAGAAAAACAGAGAACTATCCGTTGATCTCTCGTTAGTCGAGTAACTAAATTATTCGCTCGCGACTTTCTATTTTAAGTATGCAACTCTAATATCGCTGAAACGAGGACGTTGCTTTCGAAACGGGTAAGACGCCAGCGTCCATTGATTTCACGAAATAAAATTCGCGTATTTCGAAAATGATCTGACATACTGTGCCGGATCGCGGAGCGGCGAGTAAAGAATGCGCGTGTATGCAGTGGTGCATCCACAAGCAATGCGTGGAAATGGGCACTCGACCGAAGGCGGTGCACGGCGGATGGGGTTCATGGAGTCCCATGGGCAGTTGCAGCAGAACCTGCGGCGGTGGCCTCAAATATTCCGAGAGGGAATGCGACAAACCGACGCCGGCTAACGGAGGCAGATATTGCATCGGAGAAAGGAAGAGGTTGACCATTTGCAACACCCAGGTGAATCTCGCCTCATGCTCGTTCCCTCCGTTTCCCCTTTTCTCCAAGTCCCTCGCTTTTCAGTTTTTAAGCTGACCAAAGGAACGCTTCAATATCTCCGCTGTAATTATTCCGGGCTCGCGAGTTCCTTTTACAGCTATATAATTTTCCCCGTTGTCCTTTTGCGTAATTTCGAATAAGAATTCCGTTTATTTCCTTGCCGGCGTTCGGAATTAGATCTAAAGTGTAACGCGCACACCATTCGGCATTCTCTCGATGTTCCCCGTGCAAATTCAACGATTTTCCTCGCGCAGCCCTGCGACCCCAGCAAACCGCCGTTCCGAGCTGTGCAGTGCTCCAGTTACGACACGGTAAAGAAGATGTCAGACGGTCTTCACACGTGGAAACCGATTCTAGACAAGAACGCCCTTTGCGCGTTGTACTGCGTCAACGAAAAGAACCAGAAAATGAAACTGGCACGGGTCGCGAACGACACGACACCTTGCAGACCCGGGACCAACGATATGTGTGTGGCCGGTATATGTAGGGTAAGGGAATTGTTTCTCCTGTCGCGGCTAGGGACAGCTTAAGTCGTACATCTGACCATGCGACGTTAAATTATGAACCCCGGAACGTTGTCAGACGGTTTAAGAGATAGCGCGAGGTAGGACAATGAAATATTACCCTTTAAAAACGAGGTTGCGATGCTGTAAACCAAATTGCCTGCGATTATACGTCTCTTAGTGGAGATTACGAGCGTCGTATTCCTTATTCTTGCCTGAATCTCGGCCCGGCGTCTGCCAGAATACAAACTCTGATGTTTTAGAAAGTGAGCTGCGATTGGATCTTGGACGGCACGGCCGTCGAGGACAAATGTGGCATTTGCAAAGGCGACGGCACGAAGTGCAAGAAGATAGAGGGTCTGTTCAATGCGACGACCTCAACCAGCCGTACGTTTCAGCTTTTCAGTCGCGAGGTTGCTCAGGTTCGAAGCTCTTATTTAATTTTACAAATGCATCGTACGTTAGCTCGCGACGAGATCGTGAGGATTCCTAAGGGCGCGACCAGCATCACGGTGGCGGAGTTGCTGAAGAAAATGAACATTCTGTCGGTGAAGACCGTGAAAGACAACAAATACTGTCTTAACGAGAAATCGTAATTATCCCCGATTAAGATGGATCCGTAGTTTTCAAGGTTAAGTTCCTAAGGAGTTTCTCGATCGCAGGACCGTATATCTGGCCGGCGATTACCAGTGCGCGAACTCGATGCTGATTTACACGCTGCCCGAGCCGCAAAAGGAGCAGATCGACATAAAGGGTCCGATCGGCGAGGATATTTCAGTCGAAGTACGTTATCGCCGTTTCCAAGGACAAGCTCCGGGAGATATTATTTATTTATTCAAAACTTCGGCGACGTTTACGACCCGCGAAACGTATGATCCAGCCGTGGTCTAGTATTTAACAATTGCTGTCACGTACGATTCCAGTACGCATTCTTCGGGTACAACGCGTACAGGCGGTTCGAGGTGATTTACACGTATTACGTGCCGTCGGCCAATCCTTCGTACACTCCTAAATACCTGTGGGACTTCACCGAGTGGACCAACTGCGACGTCAAATGCGGCGGTGGTACAATGGTAACTCAAATATTATCGGAACGATTATCTGGGGACTAGGTGTATCAGCCTCCGACCGGAAGCAACTTCCTCGTTGTTTGCCTGCACCTTCCCGGCCCGATACCCTGTCAAACATAAATCAGCCGGCTCGATTAGACGTTTGCCCGGGAATTTATTTCCTTCTGACGCGTTCGGGGCTCCTCTGCTCGTTTACTCGCGTGCGACCGGGCCACTAAATCAGCGGGCCAACGACATCGATGCGGGAAACATCGCGAAGATTGTTGCGAACGTGTACCGTGCACGAGGAACGTTTCGCGACGTTAAATAACATCGCGTTTACAAACGGCGCGCAACGGTAAACAGGATCGCGCGTATAAATAATGGCGTTAAACTTCATTCCGCTAATCTCAGATCTCCGAGGCGGCGTGCATCGAGGAGAACGGGGGCAAAGTCACTCCAGTTTTCTGTCAGAGTATGCCCAAGCCGGAAGCGAAGAGTCGCGTGTGCAATATGGAACCCTGTCCTGCGAAGTACGCGCGATAATTCATCCGTCTCTCATCGAAGGATTCTCTAGCCTGCGCTCATCGCTTAACACTTTGTCTTAATTTAAAAGAGAAATCGCTTGTGAGGCGGAATGAATTACGATACCATTTGAATCCTAACAGCGCAATTAGTTGGCCGTTTATCACGACTCGAAAATCTCTATTTGCCAAGGTGGAGAGTGAGTCAGTGGAGCAGGTGCAGCGCCTGCGACGGCAAGACGGGTTGGAAGCATCGCAAAGTGCAATGCGTGAAGCCGGCTTCGCGTTCCGGCGAGGACGACGTACAGGCAAACTTTGACGCGTGCAAGGGACGCGTGCCCAAGCAGAAGGAGGAATGCGTCGGTGAGAATATTGTTAGAATATTGCTCCTCTGCGTTGCCTTCCCTTTGTCCCAACACTTCCGTGATCGCGCAATTACGCGTTCAAAGGCAAGAGGCCGTGCAAGAAGACCTGCCCGAAAGCGACGAGGAACGTTGACAAAAACCAGGAGACCGCGAAGGGGATGATGTCCGTTCCGATGGAGAAAAGGGCTGAAATGATCGACGCGGTCGTGGATCTTAGTTTGGCGAGGTACCTAGGGAAAGTGTACGGAGTTTCGAGCGACGAAGACGAATTGGGGAGGATGAGCGACTGGACGGACACCGAGGATGAGAAGATGAAACGCAGCACGACGTGCACTCCGGGGAAGAACATAACTACACCGAGGCCTGGCTCGTTCGTCAAAGATCACGAGCCGGTTGAATCCGTGGTCCTGCAGGAAGCTCCGTACTTGAACGAGAATCTTCAACAGAATCTGTCCGACCTGGCGTACCAGCAATCCGGCGATCGCGTCGGCGTGAGCCTCGATACCGCTCACGAGAAGGTGTACCAAGGTGAAGAGGCTATCAAGAAGATGCAACAGCTAACCGGTCAGAACGAGACACGCGTTGCGGCGTCCCCGCCGACGAACGGTAACGAGAAACTGACGTACGATCGACTGGCGAGACTTGTGGATCCTGAGAATCAACGATAGCCGTGTATCATTAGTTGTTGAATTATCCGTGTGGCAAGGGATTGTGTTTCGATCACCTGTTCCGCGAGTAATATTTATTTCGTTTGTGAACGTGTACGTTGAATAAACGTAGGTATCCTGTTCACGAGAGTGGTAGAAGTTGAGATCTCGCTGTCGTGAAAAATTCCATGAATATTTACGATCTCCGCGTATCGAGCGGGTAGCGCGAGTGATCTGGAGCTACGAAAGAAACGCTGCGTTCGTCCGTGTCACTGCGCGCGCGCGAATGGAATTCGCCAGCAGACTATCTGGTTTTTAATTGACGTGTATCGTTATTCGAGCAGCGATTTATTACGAAATTACGATACGTGTTTTCAACACTGTTGCGACTTAAGATCGCGATCGATCATACCGCGAAAGTAATCGAGTCCTGCGGCGCGGATCCTGCGGTTTCCGAGCGCGGCAGGTGTGCAGGATAAAGCAGTCGCGAAGTATGATCTGGATTTAGTTTTGTCACGTATAGAAATTACAGTGGCGGCGCGAGAAACAGCTCAATCGCGATCAGCACGCGATCACACGTTACGTTGCCTCCGAGGATCTGGCAAGCTTGACATTTCTCGTTTCGCCGCGCCGCTCGATCCCATGACTCGGCCGTAAAACGACCGATAGCCTTTCAGCAAATGTTTATATTCGCTGCATTATACTCTTATCGCGAAACAATTCGCCCTACACGCTTTCAGTTACTTTTTCTATTCTTCATATGCAGCTAACCCCATTTCGCCCGAAGCAATTCCATGCTGTTCGCGGACGTTTGACATTCAAAATTCTACGTCGCGTTCTAAGGGAATGTTCAACATCAAACTTTTAACACTGGAATTACCAGGGAGGTCGAAATGACCCACTCCTTCTTGTTACAATTATTACAAAGATAAGAGATAATTCTCAGAGAAATTACTGTAGAATTGTAAATCAATAGAAATTTCAATAATACCACTGGCCGGTTTCTATAGAGAAATTTCGAGATCAATTTGCCTGTTAGTTCAAGTGTTAACGTTCCCTTTATCCATTGCTCTTCTTTTATTCGACTCATTCGGTTTCACCGTCGTTCGAATGTTATAATTCTTCTATCCTTGTTACGATTCTTTCACGTCATGTACTATCAAACTCATATTATCTCCATGATCAAAGTCCTTTCAGAATCTCCTAGTCTGAAGCTTTCTAATCTCAGACATTCCCAGTGTTTATCGTTCTAGGGTTTAGTACGTATTTTCCGTACACGTCGATGTTCCTAATTTATCGCCTAGAACCAGAGTGGTAGTGACTCGGGTTTCGTACCTAAGCCGCGAGGCTTACGATCGAGAGACACAGCGTTGGCGTGTTCGATGGTATCTGATAATCTCCGGGAGGGAAAATCACGGCTCGTACTTTTGTTCTTCTCTTCGCGCGGCAGGACGAATACGTCTCCTGCGACCGGACTCGGCGCAGGACTCCCGTTCCTTCGGCTTCGGTCTCGGTCCTTGACAGTAGCTGTCAGCGATAACATCTACATCCTGCTCGGCGTGGCTGACGGGACGTACGCGCTTGACGGCTCGTCTTCTCTCGCCGCCGGGAACGCAGGGCGTGCAACCTTGCCAGTCACCGATCATCCGTCTGCGATCACGGTGATTAACGTATCAGTAAATTAGATGCGTACAACCGATCAGCTCAGCCGGCCAGCGAGTAATGAGAACATGGACGATGACACGCCGACGATTCAGCGATTCCTCGGGAACGAATGGAAAGCTTTTAACCTCCTGCGCTGGGAAGCCGACAGGCGGTACTTTTGTTCCAAAATTGCCAATGACGTTTCATACGCGTCGATAGTTTCGTTGCGTTACGCATACCAGATTGTTTCGAAATGTACCACTCTATACGAAGTTATTAACCGAGTGTCAAGTCCAAAAGTGCCAATCGGTTCGTAGAATTATCAAGTTTATCCACTTGTTCTCCTAATCATTCATTTTTACTTTTGTCATTACCAGCTTATGAATGGAAAAACGGAACGATCGCGCTATTTACAATGTTTTTATATAAAAACAGAGAAGCGTAATTCAGTTTCTCAACCAAAGCGAAAGCCCGATTGCGCCGCTTGACACGTTTCAACCGGGATCGCAAAGACCCGTGGTACTCGAACGCTTAATGAACAATATTACCCTACATATCTCCGTGAAATAGGTAAAAACATTCTCCGCAAGGTCTCGCGAAAGCTCTGAATGGATTTCCAGCGGAGGAGAGGTTAACGTAAATTATCGAGCATGCGAAGTTAACGAACGAGATGGGAAGTTGTATGGACTCTTCCCGGCTTACGGAACGTCCGCGTGTTCCCATTAATTCCGGTTTTTAATTTTCCACGGGGAGAATCTCTTATTCGAGATGCAACGCTCGCGATGAAAAGATTAGATAAAAAGTATCGCGTGCATATCCGCGAACCGAAAGGGCGCGGCTGTATGAATATTATCCCGCAGATTGAACCCCGCGATTCGCGGCCCCATTGTAATTTAGATCCGCGTCACCGGGTGTCCCCCATTCAGCCGATTTCCTTCTTAATTAAAAGTACTTCCAGAACGAGGAAGATCCTCCGTTAACCCAGATGACACGGTCCGGCTTTTGCCTCGGGTCTCTGGATGCTCTCGCGGAACGTCTCATCCGCGAGGCCGGCGACTCTTTCCAGACAACGAGGCTCGGAGATCCGTTCGCCGGGCCCGCAATTTGCGCTACACTTTTCCCAGCCGACGAACCCCCGCGAGGATTCCAGCTTACGAGGGCTTTTCTCTTTCAGCCCCGGCGGATACTTCACCGGCGCGGCGCGTTCTCTTTCGGCGGAACCTATTCGATGGAATGACTCCCTCGGCCATCAGTGTTACGCGCAGTCGTCTAGAATAGCATCGCTCCTCGAAAGTCGACCCCATTCACCGGCCGACAATCGTTTATTCATTCGGCGAAAGAAAAATCTCGCGGGTACACGTACCGCGGAGAAATATGAAAATATCGGGAAGGTTGATCCCGGGCGCGCGCTCTATTTTTCTTCGCCTGTATTCGCCCGGAATTTCCACTGATTCGATTCCGCCCTTTTACGTCGAACTTTACGGGATATCGATGCTTCACCGTAAAGCGGAAAGAAGTAACACGGAGAGGACTCGAAGGAAAGCGGTTAAGAGCGAAGAGCACACTCGTTCGGAAAATGCGTTTCCGAATTCTGAATAATAATCTGCAATGGCGTTGTGTAACTCTCTAAAGGATGTAAGAATACAAAGTTCCCAGAACGTCGGAGGGCGTACGACGCGAAACGACCGTACGAAACGCGTCCGGAGGGGAACCTAATTAGATTTGAGTAACGTTTCGCGAGTCGGTCGCGTGTTCCCGGCGCCGCGAGGTGCATAGCGCAAGGCGCACGGCGCGAGGTACAAAGCACAAGGAGACGTAGACGGGCAAACGAGGTTCGTCCTAATGAACGGATGCGAAAGTTTCGCGACGGTATGCCGCGTAGGTGTAACTGGCCGTAATAATAGCCGGTGTACGCGTATCGCGTTGTCTCTTAACAGCAATTAGACGACGCGCGGCTCACGCGAGAAAGCTCTCTTCATTCCGCCATCGCGGCGAAGGTGTTGGCGCAGCCAGATAAGAACTGTCCACACCCGGACACCTTGTTCGAGATACCTTATCGATCTGCCTCCGCCGGCTAATTAGCGGGCCGCGTTCGTTACCAATATAAGCAGCTCCGCCATCGCTGGTCCAGGTATGTGCAGAGCCTCCTGGCTACGTCTTATCGTTCCTAGCCACGCCTTCGTGCCCGCTGCGTCGAACATTCCTAAACGATCCCTGAAATATTCATGGATAATGCTCGCGAATGTCTTATTCAAGCCCGCCTTTGTTCCCATCTCAGGAAGTCCGAGATTAGCTTCGAAGACCTCTTTCGGGACACGGTTCTCGGCCGAGGAGACTGTTTATCGACTCGCCCTATCCCAGAATTTCCAATGGAACGCTGTTCGTCGATCAGACGCCGCTGTTGGCATCGTGAATCTCGAGCTGGCCGTTCGACTAGGTACGCCGACTTTCGATCGTGGTCAAGTTTAACCGATTCTATTTACTATTTAATCAGTATTTCACGGAACGCCGTTCAAGCACGGGAAAAAGTGGCCGGAGTTTTTCGAGGGAGTCCATTTACCCGTCAATTAACGGCTTCCCGTCCGCGGCACGGACCATTATCCCGGATTTCGTTGGTTCGGTTTCTTCCACTCGGGTATTCGTCGGGCCAGCCGGTACGTCCAGTATTTTTCTCGGTCCTGTCGTGGAAAGTTTTCCCTCTCGATTGCCAGAACTTTCCCGCTGACCGGAAAGCGGGATATCGATTCCGAGGATCGCGAATAAAAGATTTATTCGTCGATAAGAAATATCGCCGGGGTTCGGAGGCTAAGGGGACGCTGGAGATTCTTCGGGAAATACCTCGCGGAAACTTGTAACACTTTTTCGAGATCTAGTGCCCCTATCCGCGCGGAATTTCAAGTTACCCGCTTTTCTTCCTCTCCCTGGGAGATTCTTTCGCGTCCGGAGTTCCTCTGATATTTTTTTCATTAAACAGCGTTCCCGAAGATCCTCGTGCTTCGGAATCAAATTTTAATCGTTCGATTTCCTCCGGGCGCACACCGCGAAATGCTCGCGACACCTGAATGTTCTAAACTTCGTCGAACGTAACGTTGACGGAGTCCTTGGAGAAATCGTCGTTTATATCGAAATAAGGTGGGAACTTGAGAGATTTCAATATGGGTTAACATTGTCTAACACGTTGATTCCCACGGTGGTCACCCGTGACAGGAGCTCCCAAATTTCTTGAAAACAAGTACAATAAGAAAATTCATATCGAATCGAACTATTTAGTAACACGAGAAGCTAGATAATAGTGTAATATGAGTACCGTGATACTAAAACAATAATTTCTAATACTAGCCATTATTATAAAGGAATAAATTTGACTACAATAAAAC